ATATATATATATATATATATATATATCCCTTTTTCTTCTGCATTTCAGACAGATCAACTGTCTTTAAGTTCCTCTAATCCTCCTTCCCACTGCAAGGCCTGACCATTCTATTCTTCCTCCATAGAAAGCTCTCCCTCTCTGATTCCTATAGGAATCATTTCCACAAAACCTTCCTGACCTACAAAAGATTGACCCAATTCCTTATGTTTTCATAGCTTCCTGTACTTTCTCCACTTGTAATTAAAATAATAAATTTTTTTAATTAGCTGTTTAATGTATTTCTTCTCCACTGGAATATGAGCCTCAGGAAGATAAGGAACAAAATGATTCACCACTGTGTATCCAGTAATTAATACAGCATGGTGCACATAGTAGGAAATCTAAAAAGAGTTCTCACATTCCAGGGTGGGTTACAGTAAGGCATAAACATTCCCTTTCCTTAGAAAACCATATCCTTTTTGAGCTTATGGAACATTTAGACATTGAGAAGTACCATTAGCAATTTCTATTCTAATTGAGGATGCTAGTTACTTGGTTCTGCCTGGTGATAAAGATAGGGGATTTTAGTGTCAACCATCCTTGGTCATTTTTCAGTGTATTTATATAACTATGAAGTAAATTATTTCTGGTAAGCTCACTTTTACACTCCCTGATCTGAGGTTCAAAATTCTGTTATACATACTTGTAAGAAACTTCCCAAAAAGAATTGACCCCGTTCAATGGTATTATAGCTTTACCTGTATTTATATTTGCCCTGAGAATAACATGATGGTTCCAAATACCTCTAGAGAATAGTGTTGGGCAATAAAGAGTTTGAGATTGTACCTACAAATTTAGGATGTGGCCATTGAAACACAAGTTTGAGAAAGGAATGGAAAAATAAACTCTATGATTTGAACTGTAACCTGGATTTCTGTAGTAAATAGAATAAAATCATATTGGCTGTCTAGATTGGAAAAAAATCTGTTTGTAAATTTGTGTAACACCTATGTGGATATACCCACCCAGGCAACATCTGTTCTGATAGGAAAAAATTCTAAGGGAAGAGATATTGTCCCTTTTACTCTATTCCTTTAATAAATAAAACAGCCCATATTGAGGACTTTTCTGCATTTGTAGAGAAGAACGGTTCATCAGTGAGCTAGTTGCATTTGAGAAATGGAATTTTGGTTGAGTAATGAACCCATTTGAAAGCCTGAAGATCTTGCTTAGATGACTTTGGAAGGCAGGTAAAGGCTTCCATGCCTGTAAGTATTTGGTATAGAACCCACAATTCCAGTTATTTTGATCCTTGTGCATTTGAGTAGAGTTGAGCTGATTACTTCCTGATAAACACACTTCATCTACACACAGATTCTCCTCACGTGTTTATACAAAAAAAAATTATTACTTCTACTTCTTTTACTACTATGCATAGCCATACTAATAGAATCAAATATTTAAATCACATTTATATTGAGAATTAACATAACTGTTTTTAACTGTTGTTTTCTTTTGTTGTTGTTTTTTTTGTTTTGTTTTTGTTTTTTTTTTTGCAATCCTAGTTGAGTCCAAACCAAAATCAAAAGTGAAAAGACGGAGAACACCAATTTGGCTTGACATTATTAATGCAAACTATATCACGAGAAGTGACATCTTTATATATTATTGAAAGTGATTTATTAAGAGAAAAATCTTACCCCTTACATACTTATTGTAATTCTGACCTCTGCTAAGTCATAGATAGCAGGTGGTTATAGGTATGTAAAAACATACATTGTAGCATACTTTCAATTATATCAAACCTGAGTTTGAGTCACAGATTTGTAATTTAATAATTGTGTGACCTTGGGTGAGTTACTTCGTGTATTTGAACTTCAGTTTTCTCATTTATGGAAATAAGTATAAATGCTATCTTACAGGATTATGATGAAAGTTAAAAACGTGACAATTTATGTAAAGTTTTTAGCTCAGTGTCTATCTAGCACCTGGTAGTTAGCTGGTGCATGTTCATTAATATAATTTTTTGTAATTTAAGTTTTAATGAAATGAATTTTTAAATGCAATCATTCATGAAAGCATACTTAAACATTTTGAGAAGAATTATATATGTTAGGAACCCTTGTAGTAAGTAATGCACTCCACTTAAAAATACTAACTAGATAATTAGCCACAGATTGAAAATATGTAGTAAGTTTTTGCATAATTTTTCAGTTCACAGTTGAATTAGATCATGGTCTAATGTGGAAATAAAAGATGTATTCTTAACATTAGCTGTGAGCTTTTAAGTAAATATATACGCTTTTGGCTAAATTGTTCATTCCAGCCAGGAAAAAAATATATATTGGCCAGTGTTTGTACCTTTGGGTACACAGTTTGCTCTACACAGCCACCAACACCCCTGTTCTTGTGAGATCTCACCTCTTGAGTCATAGTTCACTAATCAAACACATTTTTATGTATTTCTGGGCTTTAGCCAACATTTTTATTTTAGATTTATTTTCTTGTCCTTAGCAGCTGTGCAAATTGGAATCCTAACCTTCTTTTCCTCATAGGATCTCGCTGGAAAGCTATGACAAACCTAGAGAAACAGCCATATTATGAGGAGCAAGCCCGTCTCAGCAAACAGCACCTGGAGAAGTACCCTGACTACAAATACAAGCCCAGGCCAAAGCGCACCTGCCTCGTGGATGGCAAAAAGCTGCGCATCGGTGAATACAAGGCAATCATGCGGAATAGGCGGCAGGAAATGCGGCAATACTTCAATGTTGGGTATGGACCTTTCCGTCATTTTATCATGGGGAACACTTCTTGTTTTGCGTAATGGGATGTGAACCATATTCGTTGAGCTGTAAAGCAGCATTTTGAAAAAGAACTTGACCTCAATGTATTTTCAGAAATTAGCCTGGCCCCCACGTGATCCTGAAAAGAATACATCCATATGAAGCCACCCCGAGTTCCTAGAACAATGGCTCTAGTGTGAGCTTTACTCCCGCTGGCTTGAAGATAAAATATCTGATAGTAAATAATTTTGAAGCTTGTCATTAACAACTTAGAAGTATTATCGGTTCTTTTCTTTGTTGGTTTTCATTACTTCCAAGGCTTCCCATTGACAAATTCTGCAACATCTTTGTTAAGGAAATACAACATAAAAATGATTCCAAAAGAAACACTCACTTTTGAATATGGGGGGATTTCTGGGCTATCAAGGCACGTATGTGGCCTTTGTAGATCACACAAAGTGGGGATTCTATTTAGGGCACCACAGGGTTGTGAATGGGAAAGCTGTCTTCCGAACTAAGAGTGTAGTTCTCAAGAGGTTTTACCCTGCCTCCTATGGCAAGGCTGTCTACAGTATCATATTAGGCTAACTGCAACATCATTGCTTCTGCATAATTTTCTCAGAAAGCACAGAGATAAAGTTGCTTATATCTGGAACATAAGTTAGTAAGATCCCAACAGCTGCTTATAATAATAAATACCGTTCTGAAATGGCTGGAAGATACCTTAGAGAAAGACTTATAAAGTCTGCTCTATCCTGTTCCCTTGAAAGAGTCTGCCTGCTCTGTCCATTGGCCCATGATTTATATCCCGACGTGCGACTCTTCTCAAAGCCAAGCATGAAACCCAACACTTGCTGAGGAAATAGTAAACATATGAATGAATGAAAGAAGGCAGAAATGAACATTATCTATTAATCTCTTCCCACTAAGACCAGCTACATAATTTGAGGAGCTCCCAGCAAAATGAAAATGTGTGGGGTTCCTATTAAAAAGTTAAGAATTTCAAGACTGTGGCAACAACTTTAAAGCAAGCATAGGGTCTTTCATAGCCCAGGGCCCTTTCCAGCTGCAGAGCTGTGCACCCACGAGGCTGACCCTGCTTCCTGTCCCCCCAGCTACTGCAGGGACCAAGTGGACAATGTGATACTGTTCAGTTCCGGTGAGTTCCAAGCAGTCAAGTTTTATTTTGAGAGCTCTCATATTTTAGGGTTTTTTTTTTCCCCATTAAAATTGAATTATCTTTATTTCTAAAAAGCTGAGTGTTATAGTGAAGGAAAACTGAACTTGGGGTCAAGGACTGAGGTTCTTCTGCTTAATCTTTCTACACCTCAGGTTTTTTGCATAAGGGAACATAGGAATAAAAATTATTTTGAGGATCAGGTGGGTAACCCATGTAAATGCCTATAAAGCATGACACACAAGTAAGTTATTGCAATCACAGTAGGATACCATTTTTTAGATGTTGGGCAATAGATGAAAATCAGTAGTTTAGAACTGGACAAGCTGAGCAGATTCATTATACAGTAAAGCCTGCATCTGACTATCCCTTCACCCACAGTGTATTTTTGGGAATTCCTCTCTGACAGGCAACAAGCACAGATCCCCATCGCCACTGCTGGTGTGGTATACCCTGGAGCCATCGCCATGGCTGGAATGCCCTCCCCTCACCTGCCCTCGGAGCACTCAAGTGTGTCTAGCAGCCCCGAGCCTGGGATGCCCGTTATCCAGAGCACTTATGGTGTGAAAGGAGAGGAGCCACATATCAAAGAAGAGATACAGGCTGAGGACATCAACGGAGAAATTTATGATGAGTTTGATGAGGAAGAAGATGATCCAGATGTAGATTATGGGAGTGACAGTGAAAACCATATTGCAGGACAAGCCAACTGATAAGGGTCAAAAAATGGTTGTGACCTTAGGACTTAAAGAAGCCCTAGCTGGTTCATCCTTACCAGTGGCCAAGCACATTAACTTTCTCATACACTGACTGTTACTTTAACTGTTAGTCTTAAATAGTTGGGACATCAGCTGACTAATAGACCTCAGCCTCAAAAGGCTTGGAAAGGAAAAAAAAAAATACAAGCAAACAACAATATCAACAACAAGAGATTGAAATAAGCTATGGGTAAAATAATGCCAGTAATTCAGCTGCTACATCCAAGCACTGAAGTCTTACCCGTCAACTTTTTTTTTTTTTAATAAACTT